TTCAAAAAAAACAAAAAATTTGGAATAAGTTGTCTGTAATTAAGCACAAAGCTACACAATGGACTATCTGAGCTCTGCCCATCACGGGTATCGAAACCCGAATTCTAGCGTTGTAAGTCCGCAGACATACCGCTGTGCCACTGGGGGGGGGGGGCGAATAAGTTGTTAAAAAATAATCGACACATGAGAAAAAAATAACAATAAAAATATAAATTTTAAAGATGAAGAAACAACTTCAACTTTATGATCACTACAATTCCTTATGTCAAACACATTAGTGAAAACCTATTTTGAGTATGGAAACGAACAACGAAGAAACACATAATCGACATAAATACCGTAATCATACAAAAGCCTGATATTAAAATCAAAAACATTATTTCTAACAATTACCTCGCTGAAAATAAAAACAACGGAGTTATCTACAAAAGCAAACGCAGTTCATGTAAATACTTTTTTTTATGTCGGATAAACCGGAAGAGAAATGAGCCTCAGACTTTAGGAACATTTTCAAAGGCCCTCACACGTTTTTGAACATCATAAAGAAACAAAACATGTTATCACTGAAATGATCTGAAGAGAACCAGACATAAACTGTAGAAAAATATCTCAAGCACCACTGATAAAGCCATCAAAGCCAATGATAAGTAGATATCCACGAACCACCTTTATCTATACTAATACTTTATCTGCTTCATTTTACTAAATTCAACGCCACCTATAAAATTGTTATCACCACCACAATCTGTAACGTTCTTTAGAACTCAAATGCCTTTTTGAATGTTACTCTTGCTTAATGATGATTCGATACACTGGGTCGTAAAATTGTAATAATTAAAATTATAAATATTAGTGTTATCACATTATGTAACTAAGATAACTGTTTGTTGATAGAATGCTCATGAAGAATAATATCACTATAATGAAGAGATTAGAGTACATTAAATAGCTGACCAATGTATTAAATCTTTTTTTTCCTGCCAGATGCTCATTATTTTCAATGTCGTTACCCCGTTTGTTTGTTTTTTTGCAACTTTCACTTGGACAATTCAATTACCCAACTGAATGAAGTTTTGTTGCCTTGGGTTTACAAATACAAAGGATACCCTGAACTTACACAAACACAAGGCTTCCATTTGAGGTGTTTATTTACCCAAACAGAAGACTACCACCCAAATAGTGGTCTTCATCTTGCAACATCTTCTTCGTCGAAAACCTACTTACCCAAGTAGTTGGCTTTAATTGAAATAAAAACTTGTAATAAGGATTTCCAAGTATAATATTTTCTGATCTAAGCAGAGGAATTCCTCTTTAATAACATCCACTTAATCAAGCAGAGAACGTCTACTTGGAGCCACTATTTATCTACGTATACAGCAATTTTGTTTTTGGATATGACATCTAATTAATATCAGAAAAGACTACCTATTAGAATAACCACTTAACCAGGCTTAATTGCTATCAGTGCATTCGATCTTGCGGCTATATTTACCCAAATGAAAGACTTATAAGTAAACTAAAAAGAGAACCTTTAGAAACCATCTACTTTTCCAGACATAAGGCTTTCAAATAATCCTTGTAATAATTCAGTAAGAAAACCTTTTCCGTTTCAAGTACTTGAACTCACTTACGTCGAAACGCTTTAAAAGAGAGACTTTGTATTCACTCAGACAAAAAACTTAAATTTCTTAAATTAGAAAAGAACCCTTTAAAACCAATAACTTATCTAAACGGAAGGCCATTAAATAGATATTGTAGTTATCCAAGCAACAGACTTTCACGTAGTCCATGTACCTATCCTGCCAGAAAAACGCTGGATTAGACCAAGTATCTGCCTATGCAAACGTTTTTCCAATTGGCACTATATTTAATCGCACAGAATACTTTAAAATAGACAAAAAATATCAAGACGCAGGGCTTCTATTTGAAACATTTTTATACCAAAGCTGAGAGCTTTCTCTTGGAGACAGACTCAATAACCAATGGATCTCTATTTGAAGCATCTGCTAATCCAAATAAAGGACTTTCATTTAGAGCATTTACTTATCCAATTAAACAGTTGTTGTTTGTTATTAAGCACAAAGCTACATAAAGAACTATCTAGGCTCTGCCCACCAAGGGTATCGAAACCCGGTTTCTAGCATTGTAAGTCCGCAGGCATACCGCTGGGCCACTGGGGGAGTATTAAACAGAGTATTACTACGTATGACGTCTATTAAAATATGAAAAGATAAATACCCTTCGTTTCTGCCCATGAAAAATATCTTTATAAAGACTAGTTCCTTCAGATGTTTGGCTTCCTCATGAATAACTTAAACAGACACTTTTCAAATATACTTACCCATGCGGGGATTTTCTGTCTTAATACTCCAAATACTTCTCAAATTATTCTCTGTCCAGCCTTTAAATTAAAAGTGGCTCAAAACATATTTCAATGTTGAAATGTTTATTTAATAAAATAATACATTTTAACATATTTATTAAACAGAAATTAAGTAATATAGTATGTTATATTTTTTGAAAAACGTATAAATTTGCTTGTTACTTTTGATTTATTTTTGAAATACCTTTTGAGTGAAGAATATAATATAAGTCCGAAATTTTAGGTATATCTTTTTTGAAACAACTTCTCTGATGTCTTATAAGTATTTAACTCTGTTTTTTTGTTTTTTCTTTGATCTGCGTATTGATAAAAGATAGTCATGTCACCAAAACCCATGAAAAAAATCAACATTATTGCTTGGCTATAGCAGAGGGAACTTTTCATCATCTACTGTTATTATATTTAAAACCTCTTAGGGACGGGCATGACTTAGTGGCTAATATGCGCAGCCTATGAATCCAAGGGTTCGTAGTGTGCAAAAGCGTTTTTGACATTTTGGGGGTGTGCGTGCGCTATTGAGTGACAGTCAAATCCCACTACTCGGTCAGACAAGAATAACCCAAGAATTAGCGATGGATGTTGTTGACAAGCTGCCTTCCCTCTAGTTTATCAGGTCAAAATTAGAACACGTATGGCCAGATAGTTCTTTGTTTAGTCTTGCGTTAAAACTCGAAACAAACAAAAATTCTTTATGATATAGTTGCGTTAAAAAAATCCTCCGTACAGCAGTTAAATATTTTCTTTATAAATCTCTAAGTAGGAAATGGATTATTTTGTTAGTAAATAAATATTACTTACTGCGGAAAGTTGGTGAAAAAAGAGTTTGGTCAATAACTGAGACAGGGAACTAAAATGATACTGATTACAACATTCGCTTTAAACGTCTCGTTTCTCAAAATGAAAACAATATCTACTCACTTCTCAATATTTCGTATAAATAACAAATAAACGTTGTACTTCTGGATCTAGGACTATCTTACAGTGAGGATATAATTTTTCATTGATACTTAAATCAACTACCAGGCGAATACAGAAGAGTCTCATATAATACGAACAGTATTATTTTAACTTAAAACTCTTGGTGGACAGCTGAAATTATTTTCATTGTACATTTATAAATCAAATATTTTTTCTAACATTACCGTCCATTTCTGGTTTACGTAGTCGCTATGTTTGTGCCGTTAGATTAACGTTGTTGATCTAACCTGTAGAAATACACTGCAGAAAAAGATGTGGAAAGTTGTTGCAAGAGATAATGTAACAAATAAAAAACAACAACAACAACAAAACACATATGCTCGAAACGCAGCTAATAAAAGAAAATTTAAAGGATAGACTTGTTTCTTACTTAGTTGTTAAAATTGACATAAAATCTATTTTAAGAGCTAAGCCTGACGAAGGATATATCGCCAAAACATTGTTAATAAAATATTTTTTATTGTAGACGTGTTTTTTTTTTTGGCTTAACTGTTAAAATTGGCATAAACTATATATTAAGAACTAAGCTTGATGAAGGACATATGCCTGAAACGAAAATCGAAAAAATAACAAACCTACAGTTCAAATTCGATAATGATGAACCCACTTTGAGACTAATAATGGTTGGAGACGCTTGAATGGGTAATGAAGAAAAGCTTTAAT